TGAACGATTCCTTATATCGTTTGGAATCACTTTAATTAATATAATAAATAAAAATATCCCCTTTGTTTAATTGTTCAAATTCAAATATCGTCATCATCATCGATCGGTATCAAGAATAGGGGTCTGTTGTATTAATATGGAATTTTGCAGATCTTTATTAAACTTCAAGAATAATAATATCTAACAACTTCTAATTCCTAACCTTTGATATTAATCTCCAGGTGAGGGAGAAATGTATAAAAAATGCATTTTTTTAGTTAAGATCCAAACAGCCGAACGAACATCCAGATTTTTGATCTCCAATTAAAGGTGAAAATCGACAGTTTTTCCATAATATATTTTATAACAAGTGCCTTTTTTTAAATAATCAAGAGATTACTGGTTACATCTTTTACTACACAAGGGAAAGAAATCCCTTTACTAACTGGAGCAACTTGTAACAAAACCAGACAAAGTGGATATTAATAATACACCCTTTCGTTGGTAGCTTTGTACATATTACACACACTTTTTTTTATTTGGTTTTATCATTACTAAAATACGATTTTTTATTTTAAGACGCTTATTAATCATACAAGAATAAATATAACTTTTGTGAACTAAAATTTATGTGCTTTAACTATATGGAGACATGGGATTAATCTCTCTCTGCTAATAAAAGAAACAATTTATCAATCGATAATTGTTATTAGTATTTAGGAGAAAAAAATCATAGTTGGAACTCGAAAAAAAGAATTTTTATAATTAATATACGCAGGTTTGGATCTGGTTACAAAAATAAACCGGGAAAAACTAGTTCTTTAACTATTTCGGAACAATGATTTATTAGAGGTTTTTTGTGTAGTACAATTGGTTTAAAAATAAACTTTTTACCAAGGAAGTGATATAATTCATTGGTGTAGCCATATTTAGTGTTTTATTAATGCAATGAGTGAATTGACCAGACTAAATATGGGAACCGCAATTAGCCGCAATTCCATTTTCATATGTTGCAACCGCAACTAATTGAGGAGCATCTTTATGACCAGACCAAACTTGTTGGTATCAATAGAATAACTATTTTTATCCAAAGAAAACGTCATATCCCTTAAAAATTAAGCATAGTAATAGTGGAAATCGAAATGTTACACTAATTTTTTATATTGTGCAATGTAACAAATACATGGTAAACATTCTGGCAATAAAAAGTAAAGTGATAAACTGGATTTGAATTGGATTTGAATTTGATCTCCAATTTAGAGAGATATTGGTGAAGTTCAGGAGAAATATTTAGTGTAACAACAAACTTCACTATGCTAAAAAATTACACGCGTCTAGTGATAAATTTTCGCTTAGTATTAGCGATCTACTATGCAATGAACTTCCGACACCCTTTATACAAGAAATTCAAGGCTAGGACAAAGATCAAGTCATAAACACCTTAAAAATACAACAAAGCATGCAAATATTCTCAAAGTTAATGGCTCCGTCTTTTTCCTTTGATAGTGAAGATTCTGTCTGCTCTCAAGATCGCAAAAGAAGTTTAATGCTTGAAACGTAAGGATTTATTTAAAAAAAAAAAAATAAAAAAAAAATAAAAGGAAGAATAGGAAAATTTTATACAGTCAAATGGTTAACAAGAATAATAAATCAATTATTACAATCATTATACAATATAAACAACATGCAATGTGACAATTTGATTTATTAAGGATCAGGAGGTAATAAGTCAGAAGGACTTGCGTCAGAAATCTGTGTACTATTTACTTTCCCATATATCTGTACTATTATAGTTATTATGATTATAGAAACTATTATAATCATAACTACTAAAAAGATCCACGTCTTTCCTCTTGCTTGGACTGCATTCTCATGCGCCTTTTCAATATAAATTTCACCTAAAAAATTTTTAAATTCGAATTTTTTTAAGGTTTAGTAGTTACACATCAGACATGGTTGATCAAATAGTATAATAATATTTACTTTGTTTGGTATTCGCAAGAGATTCTTCAACAGGTACTTCTACATTTAAAATCACAGAATCTTGTTCCTCCACTTGTAATTGCACTTCACGAAACAAAATTGCTAATTCCTCAATTGTTTTTTCAATCTGTTTTATATCACTATGTCGTTTTTGAACTTCTGTAAATACTGCGCGAGCTTCGCTTGTACGAATTAGACAAAGCGGCTGACATGATGGATTGCTCAAATAATTGTCAATTTCATCTTGAGATGCTTCTGGATTGACAACTCTGTATTGACGTGTCATTCTTTCTTTCCGTTGTCTCATATAAGTATCTTCAACACTATGAAAATTTTCAAGCGCATTTGTGAATTTTGCTTTGAGAAACTCGAGCCTTTGTTTTCTAATGCTGTTGTTTGGATCATTTATTGGTAATTTGATATTTTCATATTCAATTTTTTTAATCCAATCTTTAGTTTCAAAAAGATTTTTTTTTGTATTCAACGTAAGCTCTTCACGCTCTTGAACGCCATCATCTTCCATTTGTGCCGAAGTACTCACTAGAATACGTGTTTGTATTACTTGAATACGTTCAACGTTCCTTTGAATTGTGTTTATACTATTTTCGATGCTTGAAGTTTCCTCAAGAAACTGTCTACATTCATTATAATTCTGTGCCATTTATTTTTTATTTTTTGAAAATAATGAAAAAACTTTACTAAAATACCTTGGATTTTATTTTTGATACCTTTTTTAGAAATTCTTTTTTTATATAAATATATATATATTTATATTTATATAGATCTATTTTAAAATGAATTAATTATATATGCCAGAGTGTCATTTTGACCTCATCTTTCTTTTTATGTTTAACCAATTTTTTAAGGAGAAAATAAAATAATTTTTCCAAATAATTACCTGGTTAAGCTTATGCCGAGATCGGATGACGAATTACAACTCTCGTATATTATTTTTATTTTTTTTTTAGCCTTCCTTACGACCATTTCTTTCCAATTACAACAATTATGGGATTTTGGGATGCGCAGAAAATATTTTTTGAGAATGTTGGCACTTTCTATTACTTTACCAATAATTGTTGATAGTAAATTAAAAAAAACCTAATTCCTTAATTAATAAGGGTTTAGGAAAAAATTAAACTATAATTTCTAATATTGCACTAATATTTTATAAATTTTATCAAAATAATATCTTTGTTATTCGGGTAGCATACTGAGACAGATTTCAGGGCATATATCATATAATCTGATTGTTTTTCCTCCATACAATAATAAGATAATTGGGTAATTAGTCCAAAAGTATAGATTAGGTAAGTATTGAGCTGTTCTCAAATTTTGGGTTATTGTCTACTTTTGCGTATGTTTGTCAGGATCATTCAACTTGTTAAATACTTTTATATAATTCTCTTGCTTTTTTTGCAAATAAGATTTTCTTTTCTAAAGGGCACAACAAGATGATTTATTTGCAATTCTGAGATGTCCTCTTGCAGTGGTCCACTCCTTACATTCTTTTCAAAAATTATTAATATTTTTTGTCATTGTTACTGTTTCTTGGAAAATTTTTGAAAAGGGCCCAAGTTCCCCTTGTGCCATCTGTTTTCATTAATTCATATCAAATTACTGGTTCGAGTTTACCTTTGTTGACTGATTTGTATAATTAAACAATATGAGCATCTGATACTGTAATTCCTTTTTAATAAATAAATAAATAATTTACATTACCCATGTGGTGGTGGAAAAGTTTTAGTTGGTTGAATCTCAAACATATCACAGAGTCTTCTAAACTTTATTTCCAAAAAAATAAAATGAATAATACTAAATCCAACATGTTGAGCTTAGGTGTCAGATTTAACCTATGCAATCCCAATTGTTATCCTCATGGCAGGGACAATGATCTCTGCCGGTGGAATCAATCAAATCTCCTGGCAATTGTTGTACCAATAATCTATCTACTTTTTGCTCAACCCTGTTATTTAATTTGAGAATTAGAAAATTTGTTTGTATCTTCAAAGCCAAGAAGCTAGAATAATGTGTGCAAATTTGACAACCCCTACCTATAACCATTTTTCTAATCTTCAATGACAATTCATCCAATGATGGTTTTGATCTTGAAGATTTCAATATATTACTCCCAATTCTGCTATGAACATACTAAATTTTATTATTGAATTGAGATTTATTAAGAAAAAATTGTAATGAATTAATCCATCATCTTGCCTATCATATAAAGACTAAGTTGTTTGCATACAGATGTCTTAAACCTGGAGACTATTAATATTAGTTGGCTAAAAAACTCAACAAACAGCCAACTAGGGAATTGTTTGACCAATTAATTCCAGTATCTCAAGTCTCAAATACTGGTAAAGCAATTGGGAGTAGAAAGCTTATTAAATAAATGATAATATTAAAAATAATTGTTGTTAATGTAAATTTAAAAAAAATGAAAAAACAAATCAGAAAAATAAAATGGGGCATACTGCAACAAAACCAGACAAAGTGAACATTGGTATAACCAAGAATTTTAGGGATCAAAATTTAGTCATTTGTAATGTGATCATAATTAATATCCCATTTACTATCTTAGTGATATATAGAACTATTTCTATATAAAAATAGTTAATATGAAGCTAATTTACATTAGGTCTACCATGGAACCCAAGAATTATAGCACCATTAGAAGTATTCTAAAAAAAGAACAAGGTGAAAAAATTGCACCCTATATTTTCAAAATAAATGATGCTCAGGCACTTGAAGCTTATCTAAGGAAAGAAAAAATTACTTATGAAATTTATCAAGAAGAAAGAAAAATAATAAATGTTAAAAAAAGAAAGCATCATGATGATGCATTATTACCTAATAAAAAGCAATCAACAAAAGGATCATTAATAACCTTGACAGTTCCATACTTGAAATTTCCTCTTGGTTTGAAGATAACAATAATGTTGGCGTTAGTAACAGCAATGATAATAATCTGGAAGATGGTAAATAACCTAATCAAACAAAGATGTAATTAGTCAATATATTTACGAAAATTGTAAATAATGCTAAAATCAAATCAATTACAAGAACCAGAAATTAATAGAGAAGTAATCGATAATGTTGATGAAGTTAATGGAATTGCTGGTGGTGATGATATAATCCATGACAATATTTCTATCGAGGTAATAGAAAAATAGCAAAATTTTTCATATATTATTGACTCACATTTTTGCATTTTACTCTCTTGAAAGGCGGAAGAAACAAATAACAATCAATCAGGTTTGTGCTATTTCAAGATCATAATAATAAGTCAAGGCCCATTCTCTTAAAAACTTATATTTCTTTTAATTAATAATGAAATAACTAGAAAATAGAACTAGAAGATCATATCGGTATAAGCCAGGAACAGTGGCCTTACGTGAAATAAGACATTACCAAAAAACCACCAATAGATTAATTCGCATGTTACCTTTTCAATGACTTGTAAAGGAAATAGCTCAAAGTATTAGACCGGATATTCATTTCCAATCTATTGCAATTAGTGCTCTACAAGAAGTATGCATTTTCTTCTCTTAACTAAGAGGTTAAAATCAAAAAACTTTTTTTTAAATTAGTGTATTAAATAATTTTTGAAATAGGCTTCCGAGTCCTATTTGGTTTCTTTATTTGAAGACACAAATCTAGCTGCTATTCATGGTGAGAAACTTAATTGACGATCCGTCTATGAATGAGTGAGTTGTACATAGTGATCGGCGAGGGAAAATTGACACAAAAATGTCCAATTCGATAACTTTGCACGAAAAGTTGTATTATGCTTTTGTTCCACTACATAATTTTTTTTACAATATATATATGTAAAAAATCTCAAATATTATTGATATATAATTTTTTTGTTCATTGTATTTAAAGAAAAAAAGCTTATAATGAGGGATGTAGAATTTTTTGGTCCTTTTGATATATAAATTATTGTGTAACAACATTCATATTTGAATACAGAATTATTATTATTATTATTATTATTAATACTTCATAAACAATTGCCTAAGTAATTTATTTTGCCATAGATTGAAGTAAGTTGATTAGCTTTGATGTATATAGTCTTAGTTTCATGAATCATATAAAATTTATTTTGAAATTAATTTTATTAATATTAAAATAAGAGAAGCTTATATTTCCAGGAAATTATTGTATCAAGTAGATTAATTCAATGAGAACTACCATTAGTAAAAATTATAGCAAGAGTGGAGGAAACCTTTTTTTTTATTGGAAATATTTGTTATTATGAATATTATTAAGCATATATATTTTTATAATATTTTTCTTTAAAGATTCCTTTTCAACTTATTGATTTTTTTGGAGAATTTTCAAAAAAAAAAAAAAAAAAAGAATTCAATTAATTGAAAGGCCTTTTTAACATTAGGCGAACATGTCATTTAGTATGTTATTCCACACATCTATTTGTTAAGTTTGCCAGGGTAATGGTCATTTAGCATGTTTATTTTATTTATTTACTTATTGATTTTTTAGAGAATTTTCAAAAAAAAAAAAAAAGAATTCAATTAATTGAAGGGCCTTTTTAATGTTAGGCGAACATGTTATTTGGTATGCTATTTCACACATCCATTGGTTAAGTTTGCCAGGGTAATGGTCATTTAGCATGTTTATTTTTACTTATTTACTCATTGATTTTAAAAATTTTTTTTTTCAAAAAAATTAAAAAAAAGAATTCAATTAATTGAAGAACCTTTTTAACATTTGATGAACATGGTATTTGGTATGTTATTTCACACATTCATTGATTAAATTTGCCAGGATAATGGTCATTTAGCATATATTTCTTGTTGATATTTTTTTTTAAAAAAAAATTTCCAACTAATTAAAGAACTTTTTTAATGTTAGGTGAATTTCTAAAAAAATTTTTACAATTTCTTTTCATTCATTTTAATGCAAATAAATAAATAATATTTTTATACATTATTTTTCAGCTGCTTGCTTTTTATGATATTGATTAAACCTGGATATCCATGACTTAATTTGTTGGAGTGAAGGAATATTATTGAATTCAATTTCATTATTTTCAGCATATGATTGAAGATTTCTTAACATATTTTCAGCTGATAATTTTTGATTTTTTTCTATATTACCAGCTAAAAACGTTTCCTTTAATTTTTCAAGCACTTATAAATTAATTCTTTTGCCACCACCTTTTTTTCCAAATATTTGTTTGCTTTTCAAAGCAAATCCAGGTTTTAATAAATTTTTCATATTAATATCATTAATATCATTATCATCAATTTGCTTTCCCAACAGAATTTTGCAAATGGACCATAATGCAGAGTGCTCACAATAGATCCAGATTCAATAAAACTTGAATTAAATTCAATTGACATTTTAAAATGATAATTTTGCAAGAATAGAAGTTTTTAAATATTTATCATGTAACGGGGATGTAAAATATTTTTTTGTCGATCTTTTAATATAAAATTTCCCCTGTATTTTTATAATAAATTGATCAACATTTCTCTCATTCATAGACGGATCATCAATTAATGATTATAGATGATCTGCACCGTAGTGTTTTCATAATTTATAAGTGTTATTGTTAATTAAAAAAGTATTACAAACAAATGAAACAAACATTTGGTTGATAAAAGATCTCCATAACAAATAACAAAATTGAGTTACATAATAATAATATTATTATTATTATTATTTGCCGTATTTCACCCAGTCAACACTCATCATTGACTAATAACACACCATTATGGTGAAGCGTAATAATATTCGTGCTTTCTTTTCAGTATACTTGAGTATGCTGAGTCCTTTACACTATTTAGAATGATAAATATTTTTCTAGTTGTATATTAATATTATAACTGTACTTTCTAATGTTATTTTTTTTTTTGTTGAGTTGTAATGAAATAATGAAATAAATAAAATATGTAATTTATTTAAATTACTTCTTTATTTTCGAATTACTTCTTTGGTAGTTTATTAAATAGGACTTTTGTGATTATTGGTGTTGAATTGAAATTTTAATGAATTATGCTAGCAAGCCTCGACATATTATTCAAAAAGGGTAAAACCATAATTTAGTAACGAATGACTTGACTCAACATATGACTAGTAGTTTGGTCAATTATATCATTAGGGTTACGCACTCAAACCTTATATCGCCAGATGCGATAATAAATTTATTATTGAATATCTATTGCCATTCTATTCACTTGAAATCTTGCTTCATCTTTACATGTATTAATATCATTTTGAATATTATTATTCATATTTGCTATACCATCTTGAAGTTATTGTCCTAGTGATGAATGAAACATCTCTTTGTATCGAAGCAAATTCTGCCTTTCGACTTATTTCTAATCCTGTCCAAAAATCTATTAATGCCGCTTTATAAAGTATGTACCCTATTTATATGTTGTGGCAGTTTTAGAAGATAGAAATTGTTTATTAATAAAATGAAGGAATGTAATTTCTCACTTACTCGTTATTTCTTTCCTTCATCTTAACCACTATTCTCCCCTCACGTTCTGCTTAATCTCCATTCCTTATATTTTCAAGTTTTATTTTGGATAATAACTTTAATCTAATCTTGAGACTAAAATTTCAAATAATTTCTATTATAAAACAAGCTCACAACTGGGAACGCAATGCGAGCTTATAGTTTTGAGAACAAAAATTCATTTATTTTAAGTGGGTTTGGGATTGCATCTTCTTCGTCGCAAAGAGTAAAAAAATGACATCACTCGGGTCAAGACACAGTAATCTATTTTGTAAATCCAAAACATATAAATAGGGCAGTCATTTTTTTGAAAAACTTGAGTATTTTCATGAAACAAAATCGGATCTTAATCTTTATTGTCATCCTCAAAAAATGATGATTCATTGTTGTTTGCCACTTGCTGCTATAATAACAATGCTTCTCATAATTGATGGATTTCATATCTTACAAATGTAACCAATCAAATCAATTAGCAAATTTTATCTCTCCTTTCCTTTTTTTTAAAAATGTTTCCTTCTAAATAAAATAAACAATAAAAAGAGAAGGGTCATATCCATTTAAGCGAGCCACATGGGCTCGCCATTGCATGTCTGACCCCGAGACAAGTACCAATAATGGAAAAGTGAGCCTTATATTTCAAGTTGTGCATGGGATATATACAGTTTACAACATTTCATTGGACAAAATTTATTCTATTGAATTATTTGAATTTTTTTTTTAATTATACAGGATTACACAATAAAAATTACGGAACGTTTGTCAATTATTCAATAGTTTGTATAGGTGCAATCAAAGTAAGTGTTAAAGGCAAGATCTGCGAAGTTGTTTGCAAAATATATTTAATGAATGTTTTATCATTTATTCATATATAGGCAGGTTCAATCAAAATAAGTGCTAAAGTCAAGATATATTTGCAATCCAAAAGTTTTCCAAAATGAACGTTTTATTATTCAATAATTATATAGGCAGGTTTGATAAAGTAAGTGTTAAAGTTGAGATCTACAAAGCTGTTTGTAAAATATAATTAACGAACGCTTTATCAATTATTAAATAATCATTATAAGCAGGTTTGATCGAAGTAAGTGTTAAAGTCAAGGTCTATGAACTTGCAAATTGAGTTTGCAAAATGGATGTTTTCTCAATTATTCAATAATTATATGGGCGGGTTTGATCAAAGTAAGTGTTAAAGTCAAGATTTACGAAGCTTGCAATCCAGCTTTGCAAAATGAACATATAGACATGATCAAAGCATTTTGAGTAATAAACAAACAAACAATTCAATTGTCGATTGAATTAAACAAACAACGCTTTATTTTTAATAATAATAATCAATTTAATTGTCAAATAATTAAAAAAGTAACCGAATAATAAATTCAATTGTAAAAGCAATAATGCTTTTAAAAGTAAACAAACCAATGATCCAAAAAAACAGGACATATGATAATAATAGTAAAAAATGTTTTTTAGCATTTTTAGTAATAAACATAACAAACAAACAAACAAATAATTAAACGCATAATGCTTTTCTAAATCAATGGTATGATCCAAAAAAAAACGGGACAAATGATAATTCGTAAATTGTAACAAACTAAATGCACAATCCAAAAAAACAGGAATGACTTTAATAATAGCAAATCAATGGTATGATCTTCATCACACTGACTAAATATCAAATGAAAAAAGAAAGATGCTTCGCCACCACCAAAAAGTTATTCTTAGTAGCATATATGATAAAATAAAATAACAAAAAATAATAATTAATTCAATTGTTGAAATTAAATAGCTCTTCTTAATGTAAATAAATAAAACTTTTATTCTTGCCAAATAGTTCTCTTCGGTTGGAAAAAACAAAAATTATTATTGCACGATAAACGTTCATCACGTGGAAAAAAGATCAATAAAGAATCACGTAGATCGATTTCAGAAAAATAAAAATTTCTTTCCCAAAAAATTAGGTTTGAAAAAGTTAGAATTTTACTGGTTCATTGATCATGCTTCTCCTCACCTTGCAAAGCATTGCATGCAACGCTTGCAATTGTTTTGTTTTGAATCTATTAAGAAACGAAACATTTGCCGTACGACACAAATATGGTGAAAACGTTGATCGCGCCAAAAGCCGAAAAAATCAAGCGCGGCTAAACGCAAAAGGAGACAATCGGCGAGAAACCTACTGATTTTGGAAGGTGGTCATGACACGGCAAATGTTTCGTTTCTTACTTGTGTTAATTAATTAATTAATAAGAATTTCCGCGCATCTTATTATTATCCCTTGACCTTCGAAATCCTTAACTACTCTATATATGTATTGAAATAATATTACGTATTACTTCCAAGCTGCAGTGCAAACGGGTCTGTTTGTTGTATATTACTTACTGAGGCCAAGTTTTTGATGTTGGCGTTGATGGCAATGAAAATTTAATCATATATTGTTGCTATTATAACTATAGTAAATACGTGCTGAATATCTTTACCTATAAAAGAATTAGCATTACCTCTTGTACGAAATTAACTATTTCTGTATATATAAAAGAAAATCCATTGAAATAAGGGGAAAATCAGAAAATATGTGTCACATAACATTACGAGTGTCGCAGTTAGAAATTGCACATATTCTGGTCCAATTAATTGTATATAGGATAATAAAGAAATATTTTTTTCCAAGACTGGGAGGATTTTTATTCGACCGTGATAGAAAATTCAAGGATCAGCCAAAGGAAACTTATTAAGGAAGTTGCACAAATCTTTTAAAATTCGTGTGATTGAAGAAATCTGCGCCACCAAAAGAAATGAGGTCGCGCCGAGACTCGAACTCGGATCACAAGATTCAGAGTCTTGGGTGCTAACCATTACACCACGCAACCATTTTTAATATTGTCACTTTATTGAAATTTTACTTAAAACATTATTTATTATTTTTTGGAAAAAGTGTGATGATTAAAAAGATCTCATTACGTTTATTTATGAAATAAGTTTCCAAAAATATTTGAATAATTGTCTTGTTGAATAAAACATCCATCTTAACATTTTAAAATAAATTGCAAGACAAATTGATATCATGAAATTGATTACTCCAATTGTGAACAATGTCATAATACCAATTCCAATCGTTAGACTATTAACCATGATATAAGTAAAAAGCCCTATAATAATTAATATTTAATCAATCGATCGGTTTATAATATTAACATACTAATAAAAACGATAAAATTTGCCTATATACATACATATATTAAAGGTAACAATCAAAGATCCAATCGACCAAATAAAGAATATGAATAAAGGGAAGGCAAAAAACACACTCCAAACAAATGCTAAATCAGTTAACGTCTGATATCTGGTTGAGGTTTGATAAGCATAATTTGTAAATTGAAACAACCAAGTTGGCATAAATTTCGAATACATTTTAAAATGAGAAAAATGAATTATGTTGATGATAAAGTTTTATATTTATATGTGCGCATGAAATGTTGCCATAGTACATCCAAGAATTACGAAATGGTTATTTTTATAAATAAAATTTTTGAATGTGATCTGATAGAGGGTATCGACAGTGATTGTTATTTAATAATTATAAAGATTTTTCAATATAAACTATTTGGGAGCAGACTTGTCATTGGCCAATAAAAATTCGTGTTCTGAATTCGCAGTATTTAATTAATGCCAATTTAGAACAAAAAAAATCCTTTGTCTTTTGACAACAAATAATAAATATATTACAAAATTAGATTTAATAATTAATTATTGAGAATTAAATTACTAAATTGTCTATAAAACGTCTATATAAAAATCATCTTGAAATAAATAATTAGTTAAGTTGACTCTGTCGACTGATTTGATTGATTTTATTAATTGATAGATTCTTATCAGGCCTGAAATAACTAACATACCAACAACCAGTCCCGACAATTAAACATCCAATACATATAATTGATTTTATGTAATTTTTAATGGTTTTTGCATCTTCTTGACAAACAGCATTGGGTGTAAGATGTGTTGGTTGCATATCTAATTCGATTGCATTACCAATAATTATAAATATTGCCGAACATACAAGTATGACTGTTAATACAATCCAAACTTTGAATGGCCGAAGAATTTCTGGTTCTTTGTATCTAAGCCACTGTTTTATTAGATAACAATAATATTATCGATGAGTATCGATTGTGATATAAAGAAAAAAAAAGATGATTTATTTACACTTACCAATAAACCAACACTAGCAAGAAAGTAAAAAATCCATGCAAAATATGTGGCAAAATCTGATAGTAATTTGAATGCATCAGAAGAGAATGCTCCTCCAAGAATAACAAATACCATCACACACCAGACAAATTGTACTAGAAGTGCATTGTATGGTGTATATCTTTTATGATGCTATTTTCTTAAAAATCCAGAAAAAATTGGAATGAAATTGTCTTTTGAAGCCTCAACCATAACACGTGATCCACTGCGTAATCACAATAACAAAATTTCTTGTTAGATATATTTCTGCAAGAGAAAATATGTAAAAATTTAAGCATACAAACCTCCACGTCATGGAAGATACGGCACCAAAAGCAGATAAAGCAACAAAGAAAGATAATACTCTTGCAAAATCTTCACCGCCTATTTCTTTAGCAAAAGTACCCGCTATCAATTCATTAAAATCTTTTCCAGGTTTATTTACATCCTCAGACTTCACAACTGTGATGAAGGCAACATTTGTAAGAGCATCTATAAACATAAACACGCACATATAAATCCCATTTTATGAATTTTATGAATATAATCAAAACTGATTTTAATTAGTTGAAATATTAAAAAAAATCCTACATAATATAGTCACAACAGTAACGCTAAGACTATTACTGTATACCAATTTCCCTTTGGGGTCTTTGAATTCATCCAAAGAGTCTTTTTAATAATCAATAAATTGTAATATGCTGATTAGAATAAATTAACGAGCAGATAAGTGAAAAAATATTAATATAAAAGACACCAACAATTCAAATTGTTCCAACCATTGTATGCAAAAAAAACCTTTTCAAACAAAAAAGGTAAAAATCTTTTCCAAATTTAAAAGCAAAAAAAAAACAAATTAATATATTTAACATACTGAAATCAAAGCGCTGGCAAGATTTGGTAATTTAAGATTTTCTATATCTTGAAATGGATTTTGCCAATTTGGTTTACTGATATCTGTTCTAATAAGTTGAACAAATCCAATAATTATTATGACGATCAAAGTTAACATTTTAACTACTGCTAATGCTTGGTTGATTTTATTGGCCAACCCATTTGAAAGCATATGATAAAGCGTGATAATCGCCAACGCCGCTATTCCAATAATTTTTAAGATCCTATAATAATAATTATCAATAACATATACACTCAATCTCAAATACAATAAAAATAAATTACTCACCAAAAATTTAACCCCCATTCATTATTTGGATTTAATCGTTGATGAAATTGGTATAATTCTTGACAATAGTTTTCTGCATTTGTATCTTTAGGAGGATGTGGTATAATAGCAAACAGAAAGTATTGTGCTACTGTCTGTAATGCCGCTCCTAAAGATGCGGGTCTTATCGCACTAAACATTATTGAAGAAAAAAATCAGAATTAAATGATATGTAATATCTGTACATGTACTCTATTACTATATATCTAAATTTACCAAATCCAGGCAAAACTAAAAAGATAACTCGCAAGCAATCTTGGTTCAGGAAATGCTTTCTTGAAAAAACCAGTTTCACCGCCACTTTCTAAAGTTATTGTTCCAAACTTTTTAGATTAATTTAAATTAATATTTTAATTGTATTATTGTTATCTCACGTTATGTATATAGTTTACCTCGACATAAGTTAATGACCCACATGAACTTATGAACCCACCAAATATCCATAAAATCAATGCAATACCAGGCGAATCAACCTTTGTAAAAAAATTTTTGCATATAAATTAATCAAGAGCTTTGAAGTTTAGCTTTTTAAATAAAATACTAAAAAATCCTAATTATGTACTGTTTGCCAAACAATTCCAGGTGTTGAATAGATGCCTAAAATTTAAAAGGTTTGATTGAATATTAATGGTTGATAATAGATGATAGACAATTCATGAAAACTTAGAATACTAACAGATCCTAGCATGTTATTGACATTCCCTGCAAAGCCAGCAAAAGTTGTTAATATTTTTTGGTTAGATTCTTCTGATCCAGAATGCAGCTTTTCATTTATGCTAGATGATGATGCAGATGATTCATTACTATGAACACTTGAAATATCACTACTATTTGACATGATTTAATTTCTTGAATGTTCTGATAAATTTGACTTTTTAAAAAAATAATTGAATACTTTTGTTTGTAATTATTATTACTACTATTACTATTACTATTACTACTATTATTATTAAGTTATTTTTTTTAAAAAAAAAAAAATCATTAAAATACAGAATTCATAAAACAAAACTAAAAGGTTCCACTTTAATTTGACATTTAGTATCCTAATGTTACATCGCATAATAAAAATTATTTTACGTGTTTTCTCGATATCAAAGAAACTTATCAATTATTATTGCACCAATAAAAGGAAGGGTAATAATAAATAGCCGTATTAAGAAATAAATCCCTGTCAAAGTGCTGCGTATAATAGTAATACTTATTTTGCTGGTAAATATTTCCGATTTTCTTTCTGACAATCATTTTTTCACCCAATCCAAGGATCTACATTCTCAAAATATGAGGTTCAACCTTTAACAGGGGTGTCTGGTGGTTTGGTGGTTATGTGCAACCCCAATTTTTAATTAGTAGATTTGGTGATGGTTTACCGGTAAGAGGTTTAACCTTAGGATCGACGTAAGGTTAACCCTTGTTGTAGATCCTTGGATTGGCTGGTTTGTTGCAGCATGCCCCATATATATATTCCCCTGTAGAAATGTCGATCAATTCACCCTTTTTTTCATGGCTTTTCTTGGTAAATTTCATATATAGGTAATCCTTCTTTCTTCAAGTGTCAGAGTGTCATTTATTTGGATAACGTAAGGGACAATTTTTCCACAAAATATTTCTGGTTGTAATATATATAATTCTTGGGTTTCGTGGTGGGTCTGATACAAATGAGTTTCATATTTATATTTTTTATTTATAAGATTAGTTACTAAAAAAATAATATATAATAATAATAAATGATTATAAAATTGTGGAATTCTTTGTTTCATTGTGTTGTTGCTTATTTTATTATTTGTATCACACAAAAAACTAAAAAGGAAATAAAAACACTAATTGATTTTTACTAATTTGTTTATTATTGTTTTTTTTTCTTCCTTTAAAAAAAATTATATTATTAATTCTTCCTGAAAATTGCAGTTACTCATTCATCTACATGATTGATAATATTAATTAATAGGACTCCGACTTTTTTAGTTTTCTATAAAAATGCCTCGAAAATTACGTGAAAGCATGCCAAAAAATGATTGTGAACATTGTGGTAACGCGTCACACGTTTCAACAAATTGTCCTTTAATACTAATTAGTGATGACGAAGACCACGAGGAAAATCAGCAAGAAAAACAACAAGTAGAAATTTTAGATTCTTTTAATAGTAATAATGGGATAAATATTATAGATGATAATGATTTTAAAACACCAACAAGTAAAAGAATTATCAATTATATTCCTGCTCAACTTCATTATAACAACTTTGATGATATGAGTAGTGTTGTGGATAATTTGGATAGTGAAGTTGCTGAATCAAGTAATGCAGCAACTGCAGTAAATAACAATATTGATAAAGGTAAAGCGGTTGAATTCATTGATCTTGTTACGCCTGGTAGTAGTGATAATGGTAATCATGAAATTGATGAAGTCGTTGATCTTGTTTCACCAACTGTTGCTACTAATCGTGGTAAAAAACGCGAAAATGAAGGTGAAGAAGGTGAATATTATAGAGTTATGCATATCTAATTATTTACGTCAAGACAACAAACGATATTAATAAATTATTTATCTATATGTCCAAATAGAAAAAGAAAGTTCATTTACCAAAAAGATTAAAAGGGCATTTGAGATTTCACGAGCTGCTATTCCTACTACCTTCGTATCAGCTTCATCTCTTTTATCTCAAGTCCCACAAACGTTTCAAACAGAGGTTATACCATTCGCTATTGATTTGAATCAATTAAGAAGACAAATGGAACAATTTCACAGTCAATTTATTGGTGATAATGTTGATCAACTAGAAGACGATGACAATTCTATTCAAATATTATATGGAAATATTAAATCGAAAGTTGTTGGAATTAGATATTATAATGGAACAGTTAATAGAAATGAAGCTGTAAGTTAATCATATAAGTTGATTATTATATTATGAGATGTTACAATATTAATATTAACGGTAATAAATTAACTAAATTATTTATTTATAATATTATAAATAAAGGTCTCGATTATTAGAGAGCCGGATAATATAGCTGATTCAAATGCATTAAGAGTTGATAATATTCTTGGAAATCAAGTTGGTCATATTCCAAGAGATATCGCACGTATTTTAGCACCAATGATTGATTTAAATGAAATAAGAATTGAAGGTCTTTATTTTACTTATGGCATTATTTGTTTTTTTATTATTAACAGTCAATAACACATATATATGCGTGCTCACTATTATTAACAGGTACTATTAGTGGTAGGAGTGGAACACATCATATTCCATTACTTATTAATGTTTTTGGTTCGCCGGAAAATGAGGATGAGATCAAAAGGAAATTGAGATCAAAAGTTTCTCTTGACCCACCAACTCTGACCGCAACAGGTAGTAGAGGAAAAGGTTCTAGATCCAAAGATAGATGTAAGTATAAATAAGTTACTATTTTTAATATTAATTATTATGATTTGTTATTATGACTCTCTATTACTATTGTTATTGTTATTTATAAAATCTAATCAAGCTTCATAATATCCAACTCGCAATATATTTACAGTAAAAGGAAATGATGCATGGCAAGAATTAATTTCAAAGGGAACCCAAATTGATTCTACGGATAAGCAAATACTAATGAAAAGACTTGGAATTGAAGAAACAGATTTAGCAAAATTAGCTGAAGCCACGCAACCAACATCACTAATCACAAATTTATTAAAGTATCAACGACAAGGATTGGGCTGGATGTTGGCTCATGAGCATCCAGATGAGCCTACTATTGAAAAAGCAACGCAATTTTGGATGATAAAGAATGAACGTGGAACATCTCAATATTATAATATAGCCACCAATTTTTCTACTACCACTAAACCCCTATTTGCTAGAGGTGGTATTCTTGCTGGTGAGCGAATGAGTAATCAATATGTTGACTTTGTTTTATGCTACTTAAATTATTATTAATCTTTTTATTTTAATAAACTTTAGATGATATGGGTTAGTAATTAACAATCATGATGGTGACAATGGTCGCAATTATATTATTAATATAAATACCATTTTATATATTTCTAGGACTTGGAAAAACTTTACAAATTATTGCTTTAATATGTTATGATGTTGACGGAAAAGGCTTTGTTACCAACCCCATACCCGCAGATCCATCATATGCAAAGACTACACTAATTGTTGGCAAGCATTTTTATTACCTATTATTTATAACCTGTTTAATATTTATTAATATTTTTATTGATTTTTTAATAATAATTTACAGTACCTTTAAGTCTTATTGGGAATTGGTTAGTTCTATATATTTAATATATTATTTATTGATTTATTCATCATTTATCAATTAATATATACTTTACATTGTTTATTAATTTTTCCGTGTATTTTGTTTCAATATTGACAATACAGGACTGGGCAAATTGAAATGCATGCTCCAGATGTGCTCTCAATCTATGTTTTTCATGGTAATAATCGTAACGACAATCCATACTTTTTAGCAAGTCATGATGTTGTAATTACAGTAAGTTACAAAAAATTCTTCTTGGATTAAAGGAAAAATTAAAATCACAGCCAGCTTATCTATCTATATATATATCTAAAATAATATCTTAGACATATAATATGTTATCCGTATCAGGTAATAATCATAAAAAAGGATTATTTGCAGTGAAATGGAGAAGAATAGTGTTGGATGAGGGACATATTATCCGATCCAAAAAAACCAAACAAAGTGAAGCTGCTTTTGCTTTGGAGGGTGAGAGAAGATGGATTTTGACTGGTACTCCAATTATGAATAAACTAAATGATATGGTAATTAATATTTTTGGGGAGGGGAGAAGAAATATATATATATATATATTAAATTATGATTAATTAATACATATGTATATACGTATGTATTTAATAGTATTCTTTAGTAAAATTTTTAAGAATCAATCCATTTGATGACTTAAACTGGTGGAATAGGATATTTGTTAGACCTATTAAAAATGGTGTAAGTGAAAATATTTAATGAAATCATACATACGTGAACCTATGTGGTAGATTTCAATTGATTGATTTATTAACTTATCTTTTTATTGTTATGTTTTATTAATAAGGACCCGGTTGGAGTTGAACAACTCAAAGTAAATAAATTTGTTAAATCCCCTACTTTATAATTATTATTAAATAGTAATTTTTTATAATTGTTTTAGGTATTAATGAGAACAATCTGTCTAAGACGTACAAAAGATATGAAGTTTGATGGTAGACCTATACTTGAGCTACCACCAATTACTTCTTATTTACATAAAATTCAATTTACTCCAGAGGAAAAAAAAAAATACGAGTTCATGGAGTATGTATAGTATATATATGTGTGTGCGCGCGTATGCGCTATTTTTTTAAAAATAATATATATATTTATATTAATTATTTTGATTTTTTAAAGAAATGATGCTCAATCTCAATTTAAGAAATGGCGAAGCACTGGTGAAGTTGTAAGTAAAAAAAATGACCTCAAATTTTTGTATATAAGCATTAATAAAATATAAATGTATTTAATTTTCTAAAATTATCAATTACAATCACCTTTTCACCACCATAGATGAGTCATTATTCAATAATTTTAGAAGTATTGACAAGGCTAAGACAAATATGTGATCATCATAAATTGTGTGAACATCGATTAAATTCACTGATTGAAAGAAATCAAAAGGAAATTGCTGATGCACTGAATAATGAAGACTTACAAGACTTGTATCGTATACTCCAAACTACGATTGATGATAACGAAGATTGCTGTATTTGTTTGGAAACGCTTAGTACACCAATTATTACACCTTGTAGGCATGTATTTGACAGAGGTAACTATAATTATTTTGAAAGAG